TCTGTAATTTATTATGGATGCATGAAAGACGAAAAAAGTCAATAATTAAAAATTTGTAACATTTTGATCTGCGTACAAATGTTAAATTGCATAAGTAATTGACATTATGAGATATCTTACTTTGTGTTTGTAATATCGCTAAATAATAGTTTTCAATTCAAAGCACTTTTGCAAATAGCAAAATCTATAAATATTGCGTAAACATTGTGGCGTTGAAAACAGTACAGTTTTCAAATGCATAACGGTATGTGTTTCTTCGCGGCAACTAGGGCATATTAACTGGTTTTACTGTAGATCCTCTTTCTTATGAACTTTCTTGGTGACCGCAATTACGGTGGTATTCTGCTGATCTCGGTTGCTATTCGATGCAAGGAAATCTTGGCCCGATACACATTTATTAATATTGCATTACATAAAAAAAAATGGAAACAGTTTCCAGGACGATTTGAAAAAAAAATCATATGCCAAATGGAAATGTTTTACGAAGCTAAAGGTTATACCAATTTCTTCAGAAATGACTTTTCTTACTCAATATTTTTTCATTGTTACATCAGCGTAATGTATCCAGAGATGGTTATAAGTAGAGATCATGGTTTCGAACGTGTATTAAAGATACAAGTGTGCACGTGTACTTAATATATATATGTGTTTTAGTCCGGGTAGATTTTAATACACGTCTATACGGGTACTGAAATACACGGGTAGGAGCCAATACACGTCAAATTTTCGTCCAACTTTTCACATATAAAAAATTTGTAGTTCACAGCTGGAGTAGTGAAAATATAATGCTAAAGAAAAATGATTGTTTTTAGTTATGAAAAACTTCAGCTGCGTATGTACTCTATAGAACTCAGAAGTTTGTCTCCTGGAAGGAATGCGGGTCTAATTGGTTGGAACAGCCGACCGCTGCCCTTTTCTTACTTGAAGCGACCTTACGTCGCACAAATTTTCTCTACTGGCAGAAAACAGCTCATCTACTATTCCGGTATGTAACAAGGAAAGTGGACTGAACACATCAGAGTTCTTTACACGAACGTTCTTTCGTCGATGATTCCGTGTTACATGCCGGTGTGCACGCAAAAGTGTTGGTGTGAATGTAATTTTTACATCGAGGCAAATGTAAATTCTACACACGCAAGAGTGCAAACTAGAGTGTTTCGTTTTTTCGTCGACGTTTGAGCGTTCGTATAATGCCAGTTATTGGTCGACGGGAGTGTCACAGGCGGATTTACGCAGCTGAACGGAGTGACTCTCCATGCCCGTGTACCGCCCTGAGGGCAAACTTCTGAGCCCTGCACAGTAGGTACCCTCACGAGTAAACCGACCTTGCGTTAGGGGAAAAAGGAGCGTAGGAGAAGGACTTCCTCTCACTTGGTAAATTTATTTCAAGTACTGAAATAAATATTAAACTGAATGTTAATATCGCATAAATTTCAGTAATTTCCGAAACCAAGTGATAGGAGGCCTGTCCCGTACGCCACTTTTTCCCCTAACGGAAGCCGCATTTAGTCGTAAGGGTACATAGTATACATGGACAGTATAAAAACGGTTTTCTTGTTTATGGTTTTGCAGTTTAAAACTATGTACAATGGAACTCGTCTTCTGCGATAATCCACCGAATAGCCTAATTTTTCTTGAGGGAAATTCAAATTACCCTTATGTAACAGTTGCTCTAATGATGTTACTCAAGCAATACAAGTAGTGGAAATTTAAAATGTTTTCCAAAACTTGTATTTTTTTCATGCAACAGACAATAATTATTCTCAAAAATTTCTGACCTTAATATTTCGACGGTTTCTCGTTTTGTACAAAGTCTCTTTGATACGTTTCAACACCTTTATAAGAGTGCTACTTAAATGAATATTATTAAGTTTTTCTTGGATACAAATCTAATGGATTCAGCTTTTTATTAATATAAATATATTAGGCTCCCGTTTCAAGCAAATTATATTGTATGTATTTAATCACCACTTTGATCGTGGGTATGGTATTATTGATTTGTTACTATAATTTCATATCAACTCATACTTTGGAAATAATACGATCTATGTCAGAATGGTAATACTGTATCGTTATCAATACTTATTAAAGTTGACGTAGTGAATGAAAGGCACACAAAATACTACTCATATTTGGAAGCTCGAAAGTACTCGACGAATATTTAAAATTGATGCTTTCAAACACAATGTCTATTATTACAAGATTTTCTTGGAAAACAGTTTCCGTTGAGAATAGGCGGGTCCCCCACTATTTTTAGACTCGATTTTCGGGATATAAAAAGAGACGCGTATAGCTCATCCGCGGATCATACTCATATCAGAAGTCCAGCTAGTGAGATCGGGTATTAAAGTCTTTGTTAAGCATTTCTAAAAATAAGCTAAACTCTGCATAACAAATCCCCGCATTTCTCAGTGCGTGAAAACCGAGAACGTTGAAATTAGCTTCCGCGACTACACTTTACAGTACCATTTGTAAAACTTTTACTTTATTGAATATACTTTTATACGTTCATATATTTATAATTCAGTGTTGTTTATTTCAACTCCAGAATGACATCTAAATTCCCAGCTAGAAGCGAACTCACAAAGGCACACTTTTACCGCTCGATGTGTACCGAATTCTTAAAAGTTACGAGGCCCATACTAACAATCCCAGTGGCTCCCTGAGATGAAATAGGCTCCGGTTTGTCCACGAAAATCTTTCCTAGTGGCTCCCTGAGATGAAACAGGCTCGAGTTCGTCCACGACAACCTATCCCAGTGGCTCTCTGTGATGAAATAGGTTCCGGTTTGTCCACGAAAATCTTTCCTAGTGGCTCCCTGTGATGAAATGGGCACAGGTTCGTCCACGTAACAAACTCTAAAAAACCAAACTCGCCATTTTCTCGGCTTTCGCAGCCGCTTAGCCCTGGCTCATAACAGTATAAAGGACATAATTGATTTATGAAGTAATAATTGAAAGAATAAAGTCGGGTTCGTGACACTGGCCATTGAAGTATTAATTACCTTCTTCAGTTTATAAAACTATGTCATGTAGTGTAAAATAGGTGTATTGATTAACCTTATACTGTTGATGAGCATCGTACGGGAACAAGTTAATGATACTATAGTCTTTATCGGATAAACACCATTGTCCTATTTTAAATAATTGAGAGGCCTGTATCTCGTAAAGGAGTAAAGAATGCCATATATTCTGCATTAGTATCATCGTATCTTTTAATAAGAAGAAGAGATAAAAGTACCTTTTTAGTAAGTATAAGGTTTTCTATTCATGGTATACAATATGTAAACTGTAATAACAAATTATTGATATTATGTTTTGTTTATTGAATTGTACCATTACTATTTTATTTACATTTCTCATCATTCTAAAGTATGATAAACAAATTTTAACCAACACACTGCTCACTTAATTACTTTTAATAATTAGTATGCCCTGACTCTTTTATACTTCTAAGGCAACCAATTTTATGATTCTGAATTGAATTTTACTCAGGCAACAAGAATTTTACCTGCACAAAAGTGTAGATAACAAAATCATTTAAAAATATTTATTCAATATACTTTATTTATTTATGTAGTATATTTTATTTTATTTATGTACTACTACAGAAATTTTAAATTGATTTTAAAGATGAACATTTGCTATTGCACGTGGAACAAAATAATCTAATGAAAGCCGAGTATTGATTAAACTATCCCGTGATATACCGATTCATTAATACTGAAATCTACCGTCGTTGGAATCAGAATACTCAAGTGAGTGAGGTCATGATCTGTTCACGCAATCAATGACTTTCGGTTTTTACAGTTTTGATTAACAAATCAACAGAAAGAAAAACATGAGTTATAGACTTGATTGCACCATATAACAGTGCATTTATTATTATTTACTATCGTAAAAATTTGTCGACTACTTTTATAAACTAATGTTGCTTAACTGATGGGTATTATGATTTAAATCAAAATCTTATTAACGAAAAACTACTATATAAATAGAGATACTTTATGAAAATATATCTCTATGTATTTATCATTTAATTTTATTGTTATATTGATACAATTTGTAACTGTATCTCTACCTTATATGTAGTTCTCAAGAAAATGAAATATTAAGCAATACGTGAATAATAGAATCTCTATATCAAAAACTTAAAAACACGAGTTGTTTTCAATTTTTATGTTATGTCAACATAATTTATAAATGTTTTAATTAGTATTAATGTATAAAATGTTGTAATTAGTATTAGTAGTATATACTTGCGACATAAAGAACGAGGTTAAGTCTAAAGAGCCGTCTACACTTAGGACATTTGTCAGCGGAGATGGGTCCCCGGACGGTAGGCGGGGTCTCTACAGACCTCGGTAGAGTGACCGCAGAGTGTCTCTGGATACTTTTTCCTTGTTTTTTAGTCATTAATAACTAATCTTGTGTTTGGTGGGATATTGAGTGCATGATTAACCCTGGATGGTGACTTGGCTATCGCGTCTGTTCATTGCATTCCGTTTCTACTTATTTATTATAAATGTAATGTACAATGAGGTGCAAACTCGGCTTCCGCTAGAGGAAAAAGTGACGTAAGAGAAATGCCTCCTACCACTTGATAAATTTATTTCAAGTACTGAAATAAATGTTAAATTGAATGTTAATTTGACATAAATGTCAATAATTCCCGAGACCAAGTGATAGAAGGCCCTTCTTCTACATTACTGTTCCGTCCCACGTCTGGGACAAAGTGCATGTTATTCAAGTCATATCCTCTACAACAGTGCTCCCGAACCTTTTTCTCGCCGGGGACCGGTCAACGTTTGATAATTTTACCGCGGCCCGCTGAGGGGGGGACGTTGATTGTTTATATTTTAGATTGTTTTGATTTAATAATTTTAATTTAATTGTATTTAAACATGCCTTCAAAATAAAATACAGTTACACCAAAAAATGAATATAAAGTGATTTAACATTTTAACTCATTAGAACGCTAAATCAATGAGAACCCTGAGCTTATTTCTTTGCAGCGAGACGGTTCCATCTGGGAGTAATAGGAGACAATGACACCCAAAGTGTGTTGCTTATGTCCAGTTTATTCCGTTGTTTTGTTTTGGTTGCTGTCACTGCAGAAAACCCCGCTTCACACAGATAGGTTGTCGGAAATGGCAATAGGGAGTTAAGTGCTGTGGTGGCAATCTCAGGATATTCCGCCATGAATTTAATCCAGAACACCGGCAGAGTTGTTGTCTCGAACGTAGTTTTAAGGCCGCCGTCATTTGCAATCTCCAGCAGTTGATCTTCTTCTTGCACAGACATACTAGATTCGTCTGATTTGTTGACGAATGGGTCGCGGATCCATTCCTTACCAGTTCGTGGGTCTTTTGTGGTTGGGAAGTAGCGCTCGAACTCTTTTAAAAGCAGACAGGTGATCGTGCACCAACTGGGAGAATGAATGTTCAGGCTCAGTCTCGCCTAAAATCCCCGCTAATGTCTGAAACATGTGTAAAATGTTTGGCATTAAATGCAGCTACTTTGTCTGCCAACTTGAAAACAGTTGTCATTTTCCCCTGAAGGCACAGATTGAGTTCATTGAGCAGGCTGAATATGTCACACAGGTAAGCCAGTTTTGCGACCCATCCCTTGTCACTGAAATGTGCTGCCAGCGGTGACTTCTTTTCTGAGAGAAATCTTTGCAATGGCTCTCGTAATTCAAATACTCTGATTAGCGATTTTCCTCTGGATAACCATCTTATTTTTGTGTATAAGAGTGGGCATCTGTACTCTGCGTCCATCTCCTCACAAAGCTGCTCAAACAGGCGCGAGTTAAGGGTGTGTGCTTTGATGTGGTTAATAACTTTAACGACATCAATCAATACGCTGTTAAATTCCGGTGACATTTTTCGGCTCGCCAGCATTTCCCTGTGAATGAGACAATGCGTAGATTCACTCTCAGGTGCAACCTCCTTAATCCGAGCAGTTAAACCAGACAGTCGTCCGGTCATGGCAGCAGCTCCGTCTGTGCATATGCCGACACAAAAGGACCATTTTAGTTGTTCTGATATATAACCATCCAGTGACTTGAACAGTTCTGCTCTTGTGGTGTGGGTTGGCAAAGATAGTGCACATAACAAATCCTCATGCACATCCTCCTGATATAGATATCGCACATAAACAAGTAGTATTGCCTTGTTGTCGATATCTGTAGATTCATCAACCTGGAGTGCGTACCACGGTGATGTATTAATCCTCTCCAACAATTGTGTCTCAATGTCTTCGGCTATTTCCTCAATGCGCCTAGTCACAGTGCTAGCCGACAAAGGCACATGTGCTATCTTTTCCACAGCAGCCTCTCCTAGAAGTTCACGGCAAATGTCTTTAGTGGAGGGCAAGATCAATTCTTCACCGACAGTGAATGGCTTTTTAGCCTTAGCAATACGGTTAGCCACCAAATATGATGCTCTCAGTGCATTCTCCTTTATTGATGTGGTGGCCCTCATAAATTTCTTCTCTCCTTCTTGTTCCCGTTTTTTTCTTTTAAAATACTCCAGGGGCTTGTCTTTTAATCCAGGGGTGCTTGGCGTTCAAGTGGCGAAGCAGTTTTGAAGGTTTCATTGTCTCATTAGAGAGCTGGTCGCCGCAAACTATGCAGAGCGGTTTTGGTGTGTGGGAATCACCTGTCCCGATAAATCTATATTTCAAGTAGGACTCATGGTATTGTCTGTTAAAAGTTACATGTTTCTTTGATGTTGAAGGCTTTTCTTCTGTCTCTTCACTGGGCCTTTTCTTTTTCCCAAGGAAACTTTCTAACGACGTCTGTTTCGTACTCATTTTTGCTAATTTGTGGGTTAAATTTGAGCAAACACAATATACACGTACACCAAGCACTGTTAAACATGAGAAGGTACCGGTGAACAGAGAGAAGAGCGATAGACACCTTCTCTTTACCAAAGCTACAACCAGTGGTGCCAGAATCGTGGTACTGTTTACCCCCACTCTTTTCTAAATATAGCTCACCGTCTCTCGAACGACCAGCGCACACGGACAGAGCTGGGATATGCTTGTGTATGCCAGCACGGTGGACGTAAAGTAGGGGTAGCCGGGACGTCATAGTGGGAGACGATGGTACGTCGGAGTGGGAGAGTGGTGGAGGTAAACAGTACCACGATTCTGGCATCACTGGCTACAACGCTACTGCCGCTTGCAGCCGCTCAGCTCCAGACGTCACCTAAAACCGCCCCGATATCACGATATTTTGCGCATGCGCGGTATTGGTGCGGCTTTAGTTGATGTCTCTCAGCTCCCGGTTAACCTCTCGTCCATGGAAAGTCGCACAAACCCGAGAAAAATACACCATAGTAAATAAAATGGAAATAATTTAATGTTCTTTGGGCGGCCTGATACCATTTGATCCACGGACCGGTACCGGTCCGCGGCCTGGGGGTTGGGGACCACTGCTGTACAACATAACCGAAATTTAACAAAATCGGAGTTCAGGCCCGCCGTTCCAGATAATTACCCTGAATCCTGAAGTATGTTTGTGCAATAATACTTTCTATAAAAAAATAGAGTCCAATTATTTTCCAATTATGAATAGCGCACCAAATCATAACACATTGTCGATGGAGATTATTATTTTCTCAGATCTACTGCGGATTATTTGTTGCCCACATTCTTGAATTTCGGTTAGAAATCATTCCGTTCGTTTAAAAAATGTATTCATAGATAATCATTAGATGACGAATAAAATTTGGATCATCAGCAATTCTGTTGGATACCCATGAAGTAAATTCTATGTGAGGTTCAAAATCTCGCGGAAAAAGTTTGAAAGGTTTTAATTTCTTTTTTCTCAAGATTTTATAATTTATATCGTAAGACAATTCGAAACAATGGCCACACATATTTTTTTCTCTCGAGCGTGAGGGCTGGTCACGGGAACACCGAAGCACACTACCGCGACCAGCCCCGCCCTAGCCCCCCCCCCACCACTTAAATGAGGGCGGGCCTTTTCTGTGGGGGGGGGGTGCTCCGCCCCTGGGACGGCTGGTTTGCCGCCCCGGCTAAACTTCCGAAAACCCCCATGCTCTGAATTGGATGAAATTTTCAGAATAGGTTGTTTTTTGACAAAAATGATGATTGCGAGAAAGATTTTTGGCGACTCGAAAAAAAGTTTTTACCATTTGATTATCATTCCCTACCTTACCGACATAATTTATAATAATGAGCGAACCTTTTAAAATAAATAATCACCGTGCTTAGGCATACTTCGGACAGTGTAGAAAGTCGTCCGTTGTTTTGGGGAGGTGCTGCCGCCCCTCCACCAAACCCCCTTCCCGCCAATTGAACTAGCCCAAATCTACTCCGATCACTCTTTCTCCCAGATAGCACATGAAGCTTTGAAGACGGCATAAAGACGCCTTAGACCTAAAATAGCCATAAAATAGGCGTCTTTAAGGCGTCATGTGTTATCTGGGTATAGATTCACACGTTTCCCTAGTTGATTTTTTATTCTAATATAATTTCACAGAATGACTATAAATGTAATTATTGTATACATGTACATATGTATTACATTATCACATGAACACAATATGAATTTCATTTGGTATTCTTTTATTTTTTCTGCAGTACACATTTTTCTCGATTTTCTGTTGCGTGCAAGATGTATCCACAATATAGTGTTAAGAAGCTTTCGAAATGTGCCACATGATAGCAGCAATGTAGAGCTATTGATTATGACATGTTCTCGCATGTGATTGCAAAATACAATTGCTTTGTTTTGAAGAGCATTATTTATCAAATAAGTACACTATCCGATAGTTTAATGGAGCTGCTAACGTTTTGCGTATCCGGGAAGTGAATTACACGCATGTTTGACATACAAGACAACAACGCGACTAAAAAGAGTTCTACAAAAATGTGTTTTAGCACCATACCTAACCGTTAATCGGAGTCGTAAATACTTTTTCGGGGTAAGTAAGGCTTGTTGTGCTATGTTCCGACATGAGATTGGAGTTTTCAACTGATTAGAATGAAATTATCGCAAAGTATTTAAATTAAAGATAACTTTTCACTGCCGTGAAGTTTGACATATTGTTTTTGACAATTAAATGATGAAAATAATCAGATTTTGATAATATGATAACGATTGATCAGACTGAATCCTCAGAAAATAAGTTGAAAAAAGTACATATTTCGATTAATAAAATTGGTAATTTACGGTATGGAAATTTAAGCTTAAGAATAAGATTGTATAAGAAATACCTTAAAATAATATTCTAATAAATATGTAAATAAATCATTATAATGTTTTATTATTTATAATACAATATATGCATGTATAACCAGAGAAAAAAATATATAAATAAAAGAATAACATTATACTATTGTGTAAATATAGCATATTGAAAACAAATCCTTATTTTCTTATTGCGTGTAAGTATATCTTTATTAAATACATAATACAAAACTTAGTGTTAACATAGAAAATGCTTCCTTACTAAAGTCCTGAAAAACAACACATTTGAAATATAATTATATTAATAACTTTTTAATTTATAAAGATGACATTAATTGAATAAAAGTCAAATTTATTTAAGCTTAGAATACATGATAGACAAAGAGATATAAAATTGCATAATACTTTGCACTATGTATATTGATTGATGGCATATAATCAGAAGTATAACGATAATTATCTGATTGATTTAAAATAAGTCAGTATATATAACTTATATTTTACTTAAGTAAACAAATTCATTACAGTTATAAGATGATGACATGTAAAGGTAGATTAATGGTGTTGATGACAAGTAAGTAATGTTACCTATTACTTTAATGTTGTCTATGGTGTAGTATTTACCATGTTAGCTTGTCACTGTTGTATATATCGTCTCGTGCTTCTCCAGCATTATTAGGCAAAGGTAATACTCTGTAGTGTACCTATGTGTATATTATACCTAAATATACGTATACGTATTTAGATCATACATTTATATGAGGATCACTTATAATGGTCAAGGTATATACGAGCTAGTGGATAATTGTTCAAACAGTATATAAGTGGAAGTACACTTGTACTGTATCTAATCTAAATAGTTAATGCTCTTAAATATTAGTATTTGGAATAAATAGTATTAATATGCACTTACATTTGAATTTACTACTTTTTTAATTTGATGAAACATACAGGTGATGTTAGAATTGATAAAATTGGTAAAACTACTTAGGTAAATAAGAAGAGGCATTCAAGAGCTATTTCAATCTGGTTCACGTTATAAAATGAGTGATTAAAAAAAATTAATTTAATATATGTGTACATATGTATATGTATATGTGATTTGATAGGAAAGATCTATTACCGATTATCGGTAACGGTGTTACTGTACACTGTTTTATGAATGCGTCGCTTCGATCTCTTTAAAATGAGAACGCACAACTACAAATAATTACTAAATAAACACTGTAGCCTTCAACTGCTTTTGTGTAAAATATTACAGAAATAAAGTGCACAATACTTATCATACATATTTAATTGTATACTTTGATCGTAAAAAAAGATATTTTATACAAATTGACATATCTGAATACGTTTTACAAGAGGTACATTGATTCAAAAAGGACACAAGATACTAAAATATAAAGAAACAAAATATAAACATATAAAATTCATCAAATTTTATTCGGCAAATTATACGAATTTAATATAATTGAGATGAAATAAATCAATGGAAACCAAAATTATATCGGTGTATCGTGCATCTCACGAGGGAAACTCAAAGAGAAAGTAGAAAGTACAGACTGCTAGTTGACTTGAGGAGCAATATATAGAATGGAGGTCCATAGTTGAAGTAACGTATTTATGTTTCTGTAAAAAGATTTCAATAATAAAAATTGTGTTATAGAAAAATATCCCATTGAAAGAGAATTTGTTCACAAAATTAATAAGTACAAGTTATTAACAGTCTCATATCGGTTTTAATAGGCAGTTTAGCATTTACATAATCTACAGGTTCAACATGTATGTACTTCATTCTTTTAGGCGATTATAGAGAACTATCTAAAGTTGTTTACCAACACGTACTTGTTAGCCCTATATTGCGTAACATGCACGTACTATTTTTTGAATAAATAACACGTTTATAGTAACAAATTAATAATTAGAGTATTGTATACACGACGTATCAATTGACGTGATCATATAAGGTATTATCATTGTATCTAGTAATACTGTAAAATGTCTAAACATACAATTATACAGTTGAAGATGGTAAACATTACGATTAACACGTTCAATGCGGACAAATTATTACAAATCGATCCCTGGTGATGTAAATTTTTTCAATATTTTTGGCTTAGTTTTACTTTAAAACAATAGGAAATTCAATATTTAATGCTTAAATTATTAATCTATTCAAAAATATTTAAAGAAAACGTTGCCGATACATGTATTGAGTTCGTCATGGAGAAAGTGTGAATTGTCCCTATTACGCGTATGTACCGACTATGTCATTCAAAAGTACCTTTTCCTCGATATATACATATCGCATCCCTGCAAGAAGAGTGTCACAAGTCGAAAACAAGTAATTTTTCAGGAAAGCGAAAAGAAACTGATTAATTCACGCAGCAGTGCATTATATTCAACAAAGTGATACTGGCACCATGTCGCTTGAAGTATTGGAATTTAACTTGTAACATTTTTCTGGACGGTGGCACTACGCATTGGAAGATATTTTATGCGATAAAATGAAAACTAATCATTTTTAGCTTGCACCACTTTTCTTGTGGGGGTACGATATTTATGTCGACCCCGCACTGAACATGTGTACAAAATATCACATGGAAAAACTACAGAATCACATAATTGAAATGATAATATACCTCATAAACTAGTATGTCTAACATACACCGTTTGAACTTTTAAGTAATCAGACACCTACTTCCATAGGTTGATCTATCGGTTAAGGTATCCAGTACCGCAAGATGCGTTACGCGTTATATAACAGACATTCAGTCTGAATATTGGAATTAACAACTAAATACGCATTATTAGATGGATCATTTGTTTCGTTGCCTCTTGAACTATTCACAAACTCTTTACATTCCACCCTAGTTCCTCCAAGCAGTGCATTGCACGGTTAGTTAGCAAAACCGAGTCTCGAGAGTAGTACGAAGACTCGCGAGAGAAAGAAAGCATCGTGAAACATTTGATTCCGGATTTAGCAGTCTCCTTTCGCTGGATACGCGGATGCACTCAATATGAACTACGCGCCACACGATACCATGCTCCAACATACATAATCACGTAGGCCGTTGTTTGGCCGATTGTTGCAGGACGTAGAAAAGGGCGAGCTCCATACCGACGTCGTAGGACTCTCATCGTCGATCTGTTCGCGGCCGACGTCTTCGTCGCGTACGTCGACGTCGGCCGAGAGCAGGGTCGAGCTTGAGGATAAACTAAGAGTCAAGCCGAATGCGACGAGCGTCGAGGTGGAAGTGGAAGTGGAAGTTGTCCCGAACAATGAACCGGCGATAGGTACGTCGAACGTAGAGGACGAACGGGAGACGGAGCACGGTTGGACGAACGTTGTCTTGTGTGCAGGAGCGGGGACAGAAGCGACAACAACGACAACGGCCAAGAAGACGAGGACGCGAACGGGAACGGGAACAGGAATGAGTGAGCCTAGCCGGTGGAAGGCAGTCGGCCGCTTGCTTCGCCGCTTGGCGCTCATTATGTTTCTGCTAGCGGGTTTGGTTGCCTGTCTGGCTCTACTGGCCATGTACGCGGGCCTAATTTCCCTCGTGCAGCTGCTTGTGGTTGTTCTCGTCGCGTATTTAGTCTCTGGAGGACGTTTTCGATGGTTCTACGTTGCCCTTAAAACCTTACCCAGAGACGCCAAGTGAGTAACAATTTTCCCATGTTCTTTTTCCTAATAAACAACAATAATAACACTTGTTAAAGTTTGACTGTCTAGTTCTTGTAAATCTAGGTTCTCACTGTCGCTGCATCTATGGTATTTTTTCAATACTTCGGCTATGTTTGCTAATCGGTTTAACAGTTACTTGGTACTCATAGGTCGAATAACCATCGTCAAATGTGTATCTCTGTGGTGAACGATGGAGTACGGTACTCAAACTTCTGTCCGTTTTTATTGTCGTTAAGGGAAAATCGGGTAATTTCTTGCTGAATTATTTTATGTATCGATCTTCTTATTAATCACTTATTACATTACTTGTATTATGTTAGGTGAATCTATGAAATATTTGGCCAGTATAGTTCGTATTTTATGGGAGTTGTAGATTCGAATGTGTAAAGTACGAGAGTGGTCAAAACAGTCAAATAATAATTAAGATGTCAGAGTAGTGACAGTAGAGGTGACAAGGAATATCATTTAAAAACATTATAAACTCTTAAATATCCTTTAAAATATTTGGATTCTATATTAATTTGTAGAAGCAATCATATCTTGGAAAGTAAAAAAATTGTGCTAATTTTACTTTAGTGGGTACGTTTCCATGTTATTGTATACACTTAGAATACTACATTTAAATGTATTTAAAAATAGAAAAATCACTATGAATCGTGCAAGATCCGGTTCCCGTCACACGTGTAATGTCCCGTCACACTCGAAACATGTCTATCCGTTTAGAGGTAATGTTTGTCGTTTTCCTTACTCCGAAATAATTGTTCGGCTTTCATAAATGTAAAATGCCCGGAAGTATACTAATGCGAAGTGCTAATTTTTCTAGATTACTAAAAATCTTCTACAATTCGTGGGAACGAATGTAACAACGTTCCAAATTTATTTTTGCGTTTAATTCTACGTTTACTTTCGATTTATACTTCTAATTTAGTAGTGAATAGAAATTATTCAGCACATCTACTTGTCACGAAAACATTATGTATATAAGCACATGATACGGTTCCCCCAATTTAGCGAACCAGTCATCAAAGTATAACTATTACGTTTCACTGTTAGAAAATCGATTTTCATAACTAGCACATTTAGCTATTACGAACGTTGTACAATAATGACGTTTAAATGATCGTGAAGTATGTATTCAAATAGGAAGCTTTTAATGCGCGTGATAATAGATGCAACATGATAAACATCGGTCTATAGAGTTGCTACTCGTTAACGATTACGAAAAGTTCACAGTTGACTTTTATGAATTTACAAATGCTCGTGTTGATATTTTATATAAGGTGTTTTATAGTACATGGCTATGATGTCAAAAATGGACAAAAACTGATAAAACGAACAATTATACAAATCATAGTTTATAGTAGAAAAATTTTAAATTACAGTCGTTCTTTTATTTTAAGTTCCGTGGTCAGAAACCAGAGTTTGTCACTGTACTTGTAATGTAGAAATCTAGCAGATCGTTTTTGATTTTTGTTTGTAAATAAATAAAAATTTAAATACGAATAGGTTTGGCAATGTTTAATAGTATTCGAAACGTTTTGTTAGAATGATATACAGAGGTTATACAGCGTTATAGTGATTCTTATGGTCAAGGCCGTGTGCTTTCGAATTCCGAGCGGGAAGAATCACTAGAGCACTGCATGTTAGTAATTCAATTTATTACGAAAATAAGTGAAATACCAAACCACCGTATCTAGGGCCGAATTTACTAAGGCAATTTTGTCCACATGCTATGAAGCATGTTGTATAAATATGTTAATATTAACCTCTAACTTATTTCCTGCTTTTCTTTCCTGGTATTTCGGACTTATTCCATTTTTTTGGTAATACTCTTTCACATTTTAAGTATTCTGCTCGCACTCAGTTATAAAACATTGTTTATCATGTACTGTTAATTTTTCATGAATTACAAAAACAGTTTTCTTGTTTGCCACCTGAAAATATGCTCAGTCATTCCGAGTAATAATTGCTGAGAGGTTTTTACATTTCCACGTATGTTAATAATATAATAAAAACGCGATCCATTCCTTTGTTCAATTGTTTGTCATTGTGAGTTACATTAACGCTGAAGATAATTAATGAAATTAAGTTTGGTGTTCCAATAAAATTGCAGATAATCTGAAGTCAGTTTAAGGAAATAATATAAAATCTTGATGTTAACACATGGCCATGTTTAATTTTGTTTCTATTATAGCTTTTTTATTTTGTATAGTTTTTACATTAGAACGAATCGCTGTAACTGATTTTATTTACTTGTTTATACTCATTATTTCACGGTTCATATCGAACTTTTGTAGTAAAAATATAGTGTAGTATCTTAATTTTTTTATAAGTATAAATACATTTGTTTATGTTGTGTAATAAATTAAATATATATACAGTCATAATTTGCATTTGCACTTTTGTAGCGTTTATTTAGCTTGCTTGAGTCACATTTTCCCTATGTTGTTTTCCATTGTTTTTGGAATTTTGCACTACATACTGTGTTGTTTTTCTTTGAATATTCCACAAACCTCTTTAACATACTGTTGCCAACATTTATAAAAGTATTTTCGAAAAATTATTTACAGTACGTTCTTTTCGGGGACGGGCATTGAATATCTATTCATTGATGTGCTTTGGAGTACCGTCGAACAGTCGCAGTTTTGCAAGATTATGTTACAATAAATGGATAATAAAATCTCTTTTAGCCGTATCTTCCACTACTTTTATTTTATCGAATTATTTTACCGATTTTAGCATGGAAAAATTCACGTTTGTCTTAATAATTCAGTATGACACAAAAATTTTCGAAAATGGAAAGTTACGAACTCTGGTTCGAAAAGTATTTTCATTGAGATCTAGGCAGCACAGGATCAGAGATTTTGTAAAGGTATAAAGTTTGTGGCAATCAACGCCTAGAAAATACGCAGTGTTGACAATTTATTGTTCGTAGAAATATGTTTATTAAACATCAAGATGGCACGAATGAACGATGAACAGGATTTTTTCAATTCGGCATAAAACTCGTAGATAACGTTTAGAATATATTGGATGTTCAAAGTTTTAAGGACATGCTTTTCTTTCTGTAAAACGATTTTATATTAGCACCTTAATGTGTAATTTATAATTTTTTTCAATAGATTTACTGGGTCATTCCAAGCAAAGTGGTCCAATATCGTTGCTCGACAATTTTTTAAAAATCTAAATTTTTCTGTATTTTTACATTTTGTTTGTTTGCACGTCAGAACCGTATTTGTGTTGTGCGGAAGGTCATTTCTTGTGGTTTGGCGGGTTCGCGGAAATTAAAATATCTTAGTGTCTAATAATCCAAGCAACATGGGACAAGAAGCATGTTTTTCAGAAATGAACGAGCTACAATTATTGTTGTATACATTTTTATCCTAAAACTAACTCTACTAGCCAAAGTTGAAATTTTTGGTAAGAAGGGGTAAAGTCTCAAACTTAATTCTGGTTGACTTAATCCCTATTTTTTTTATAATTTCTCAAATATTCCGATTTCTGTGATTTTTGCAAATTTTGGAGCTAATTATCTAATGTTTCCAAACATCACGGAAATCGGAATATTTGAGAAATTATAGAAAAAATAGGGATTAAGTCTCACACTTGAAACTTATCATCCAACTAAATTGGCATGTGCTCTACCAAGAAAAACCAGAATTAAGTTTGAGAGTTTACCCCTTCTTACCGAAAATTTCAAATTTTGGCTAGTAGAGTTAGGTTTAGGATAAAAATGTATACAACAACAATTGTAGCTCGTTCATTTCTGAAAAACATGCTTCTTGTCCCATGTTGCTGTGATTATTAGACACTGAGATATTCTAATTTCTGCGAACCCCCCAAAACCACAAGAAATGACCTTCCGCACAACACAAATACGGTTCTGACGTGCAAACAAAAAATCGTTAGGATAAACGGACGCTTGTTTTTAAGTGTAAACATATGAGGGTAAACATACACAAAAAATTATATTTAAAAAAAATGGTCGAGCAACGACATTAGACCACTTCGCTTGGAATAACCCTACTTAATTTTAAGAATGTAAGAGATCTATCGTTCTTCTCTACTACTATCCTGAATTATCTTTAATACAAAAGGTTAGAGGATAACAAAAGGAAAGACACAGTACACAAGTATAATACACTCACTGGAGTACGTAATAGCTTCTATAAAGTTATAATTTTGCGAGCTTCGGTATTGCGATCGACTTCGATCTTGGTTGCGTAATTAACTCTTATGTAGACAACCGGGTACCCGGGTACCCATTATTAAATTTCCTTTCATAATTTTTTATGTTCTTGTCTAAAACAGCACTTGGTATGTTACTGGAAGAGGAAATTAACAGTTTCGGAAACGTATAAAAGTAAAATTATCTATGTTTATCTAATCTGTCAGAACAAAAGTATTCCGATTGCTCAATAACCGTGAATATTTTGATTGCTTACACAAGGATTAATTTGCGTTACTACATATTTTTAGAGACACCTTATAATTAAACATTTGAATAAATCGAAGCCAAAATACAGAGACAGTGCATTTTATCTCCCACGTTGGTGCGTTTTATTTGTATGTACCACATAATGTAATCATTTCTACGATCGTTCATAATCAATTCGATTCATTATCGAACTCCGAGAACCAGAAAAAGTTGTCGTTTTACGAGTCACTGTGTTAAAACGAATGCTGTTACGTCACGTTGGGAAATAAGACTGTGGATAAGAAAGATACGCGAGCTGCCTGTCAATTATAACATGTACTTTTCCGCCGATCAAATAAATAATCACATTGGTACTGTTATTCTATTACTAAAATATAGGTTTTATCGTAATCGCGGAATACTGAATTAATGTTGTTCACTTATAAAACCTTCGTTTTTTGTTCTATCAAAATGTCTAAGGTGTTTTAAATCTACAATAATGTGAATCAGTATGCCATCAGACTCAGAGTCGACTTGTGATGAGGTTATAACTCGA